CCCAGGACTCCGCGGCCACGGCCCGGCGCCGAGGGGGTTTGCGAAGCCTGGGAGGAGCGGGAGCGGAACGCGCTGGTGCGGCGCATCGCGGAGTGAACGCCTGGGTCTTCTCTGTTAGCACACGGAGGAGGCCACTGGCTGCGTCCAGGTTACCTTGCTGTGTCTGCCTCCCAACAGGGAGCCGGGCCTGCTAAGGGAGTCAGACTCGGTTCCGCGCTCAGGGCAGTTCCGGGGGCCCATCCTAGGTTAAATAAACTATCAATTAAGTGTCCTTTCACCTCATTTCTATTTTCTACGCCTACATACTGCTTGGCCATATTGCAGCTCTGGATTTCTTAGAACCACTTCTGGTTCTGAGGGTGTTGACTTCGCCATTCTTTTACCCTCCAACCCCGCACGCAGATAAGTTCTAATGAATGTAAGTTTGACTCGTTTTTGTTTTTGTTTTCTTTTTAAATTGTGTGTCCTGGACTGGGGATTTAGCGCAGCAGTTCCGCCGCCTGCCTTGCAAGCGCAAGGACCCGAATTCAATCCCCAGTACCAAAAAAAAAACCAAACAACAAAAACCCAAACATAAAGCTTCTGTATCCACTTTCTGTCAGAATAGCAGGGGTAAAGAGACAAGTGTATTTTGGCTTACGGTTTTGGTGGCGCCAGACGAGGACTGCGTGGATCTATTGCTTTGGGTGGGATCTGTTCCTGTGGTGGGCGTCCTGGGTGGCAATGGTGGCAGCTCCTGGGGGAGCGAACTGCTCACCTCATAGCCTGGAAAGAGGGAGGGAGGGAGGGAAGCGGGCACCACCATCCCCTTTCAGGGAGCCCCAGTCACCTAAAGCTCCCACTAGGCCCCGCCGGCTCCAGTCTTGGTTGCCAACCCTCTGGGGGACATTCAACATCCAAGCTGTAGCGCACTCAATATAAAACCACTCTAAAATTTCAACTTTGTCTTAAAAATCACCTATGTACATCTGTAACAGATACAAGCAAAAAAGTTACTTCATTTAATGCTATTCAGCAAGCGATTCCAGGGAGCCTCTGGTATGTTAGACTCTGAAGTATTTACTGAGTATGATGATTAATGAGACAAGGTCATCGCTCATCCTAACTAGGGGAGTAAATAATTTAACTGCAGTACATGTAGCAAATGAGAAAAGGAAGCGCCTGCGTTTGTTTCCCTCTTGGGCCCCAGCAGTGCTTCCAGCCAGCAGGGACCGGGGTCCTAAGATCTGGGCCCTCTGCCCTTCAAGTATCCCGAGCGCCGCAAAGGCTACAAAGGGCGCCAGTTGGCTCCGGCCCCAAGGAGGAAGGGTATTCTTTTTTTTTGGTACCGGGGATTGAACTTGGGCCCTTGCGCTTGCAGGGCAGGCCACGGAACCGCTGAGCTAAAGCCCCCCCCCCGCCCCTTAGAAAGGTCTTCTTAAAGCCGCAGGGTCTTATAGGATGAGCTGGGCGCAGACTCAGGCTGGCACTTTAGGAAGTGCAGAGGCAAGACAGGATCCTTAAGAGATCAAACCCACTCTGAACCTGGCAAGAGGTGTCCCTGGCTAAGCAGCTGCTCTGTGCCAGGCCCCATACCCCGAGGTCCCATGTCTGCACCTGCTGGGCAGGTGCTGTCCTTCACATTGCACAGATCAGGATGTGAGCGCAGGAGCGGCAGAGAAGGATTTGAACCCAGGCCACTGTCGTTCCAATACCTCGGTCACCTCTACCCTGCGCGGTCCTGGCTCCATCTGAGCTTCCTTCCCGATTTCCTGGGCACAGCAGCACCCCACACCCGGGCGCCTTCCCCCGGGAGCTGCAGGCCACGCTGCACTGGCTCCAGCCACTGCTCCTACTGTCACTGCTAGTGGTGGACCCAGCTGGCCCGGCTCTCCAACCCCGAACAGCCTGGGGCTCTGGGCCCTGGCAGCAGTGTAGACTGAGCCAGCAGCAGGCCCTGGTGTGGTCTCTGCAGGGAGCCCCGGGGTATCCCCCCAACACACACACACACACACACACACACACACAC